GTTGTAATTATTTTAATTATTTTTATTTCCAAACTGATTTTAACCAGTTCTATAGTAAGGTAACATTCCAATAGACAATATGCAAAGCTTTTTTTTCAGTTTACAGCAGTATTTATTACACAAAATTTAAGTAAAGCTTAACATGCCGATCTTGCCCCGGTCTCCCCTATATATTCTTTATTAAAAAAAAATAGTTTAAAAATTTAAATTTAGAAGAAATTTTTAAAATATTTTCTATTTATTATTTAAATAATATATTTTTACTTTACTTGGAATTAAATTGTTTAATCACGTTTTAAAATAGAAAAGACTTATTGAATTTTTAAAATTAAATTTCTTTCTAAGAAACAGATAAAATTTAATTTTGTTTTGTTTTCTCATATGTTCTTTTATATATATGTATATAAATATATATATATATAAGAGGGAAAAGCTCTTGATAAATTTAAACATTTATATTTTTGCATGTGTTCACATTGAGAATGTACAGGAATAAATTTGTTTAAGGGGATACATGAAGATTAAATTTACTCTGATTCTACTGTTTTTTTGAAGTAAGTGATTTTGTTATGATACCGAAAAGAAAATTATTAATGAAGTGGGTTCTTTGTTTGTACTGTTGCAATAACAAATGGGATGTATTGTACTTTGATCGGATGAATTCATTATACAATGGAGTTAGCCTGGTGAAGAAGTCCTGATGCTGTTATAGTAACAAATTTTTAGCTTTAAAAATATTTCTATTGTATATAAATATATTTAAGTGTAGCAATTTAAATAGTAGAAGTCGAATAAAGTCGCTATTGTTATTGAATCTTCTATTTTCCATAAAGTTGTATTAGGAAATAGGAAAGTAAATTATTGTGCTTTAGTTTTTATATTGCGGGCGTATACATTCCCACAGCCGTCAGTCAGTCTGTCCGTCCTTCCTGAACCTTCACAATGGAGTTAAATAAAAATCGAGACCGGATATAGAAAGTTTAAGAGTGGAATATCCTTATCAAATATTTTTTTTAGTTTTATAATATTTTATTATGTATAAAGATATTTTATTGTATATTAGCTGTGTATACCCTACATTGCTTTGGCTTTCAAGAGGTGGGATTTAGGTGAATAAGGGCTGGTGTACTTTGTATTGTATTTTTTAAGCAGTTGAAGAACAGCTACGTGTTCTTGGTGTGGCTTGGTTTTAAGTGGGTAAAATTGGGTTGGGAGAGGGTGATAAAATAATGGTCTGAATAACTAAAATGTACATTTATTTACTCGAGTATTTACAATAATGAAGCTGCAGTATTATGTTAACGCTTGCTCGAGCTTAAGTTAAGAGGGTAGGCTTTAGAGACGATTGGGGTGGGTCCCAACCGTATTTTTTCATAGGGTGTCGAAGAATATTCATGCCAAATTTGGTTGAATGAACTGAATAATATTTAGATGTTATTGTTATCGATTGTTTTTTCCAAATCTTTTCATTCTCCTATTATTTGAAAATGTTTTGATACCGAAAAGAAAATTATTAATGGAAAAGCTATTTTGTTTGTATAGTATCGAATGGGATGTATTCTATTTTTATTAGATGAATTCATTATAGAATGGAGTTAGCCAAGTGAAATATTGCTCGATGCTATGTTACAGTAATAAATTATTTTCTATCTAAAATTATTTTATTGTATATAAAAGTTTTATCTAAATATGATATTTGGATTCTAAATATCAAATAAAATAAATAAACTGAATGATATTTACAATATTAACATTGATTGAAAGTTTTTGATTCTCTTATTTTTTTGAATAAAAGTTGTATTATGATGCCGAAAAGTAAATTATTAATGAAGGAAATGCTTTGTTTGTAATGTAATATTATTAAATGTATGTCTTGTATCATCGGATGAATTCATCATTCAATTGAATTAGTGTACTGAAAATACTTTTTGATGTTGTTATAATGACAAATGCCAAATTATTTTCGGTTTAAAAAATATGTTTTTATCGTTTATCAATTTTGAATGATAAATAAATAAAATGAGATTTTAGAATATTATTTTTATTAGTATCGATTGGATACTTTTGATTATAAAATTGCGGTTAAAATAATATTATATATTATAATATATAANAACTTAAAATTTATATGCACAGATAAGCTTATACTCGATTCAATAGGACCTACTGATAATACAGTAATAGCCAAAATCCTAGATCTTGTACAATACCAATTAAAGTGTATTCTACAATACCATTATGTAAACTTATATAAAAAAGGCCTCGCAAATCTATGCTTGATTAGGGCCTCGCATAACTGTCGCTAAGTATCTAGGAAGCCTACTACATCTTCCTAGATATATAATTAATATATTACTATAAAATTGTTAAGTTTAAAATGAATAATGCTAATAAATTGTTTTTTTACCATATAAAATTAAGAAATAATTATTAAAATAGCATATTAATGTATCTGTACTGTATATATCTCTGTGCTTATTTTTGTATAATACAATTATAGGCCTTTGAGTAAAGAAGAGTTTAGTTCTTATCCATATACTAACTAATTTGTGTTTAACAATATTATTAATTATTTACTCTTTCAATATAAAAATTCAGTAGCTTTATAGTAAGTATAATAGAGTAGCTCATTGTATAAACTACACTTAATCTAATTTTGCAGGTAGGAAGCAGGGAGTTTTTTTTTGCAGTTTTCTCGAACAAAAACGCTGATGGAATACATAAAAAAGTGAGTGAAGAATATCTTTTTATATATATATATATATTTTCTGTTCTCAATAAATCTATTCCTTCTGTAAACGTGACTTATATAACATTGCTTTCACTGAATGCATCACACGCAAGTCATATCATCCTTTACCAGTAGAAAAGAAGAAGATGAAGAAGAAGAAAATAACCCAAATAGTTGTACTTTATTTTACTTTTTTTTTCTTACTTAATTATTTTTTCTTCCTCTTTAAAAACTTTGGGGTTTTATTTAAGATTTTTCAAATAGATATAATGCACTTTTAACGCTATCCCCATTGGGAAACGAAGCATCCTAAAATGCAATTAGGAGAGGATTTTTTTGTGGGTGTTTTTCATGAATATTCTACTAGATCTTCGCTACTTTTTTTCTATCTTGTTTTCGTTTTCGACATTCTTATACTCTAGAGACATTACTGTAAAAATGATGTATCTAATAGACTTTCAGGTAAGTCTAGAAAACTAAGTATGAAATACAAATAAATCTACAATTCATTAGAACATAATTTAAATTTTAAAAACAAATATATTATTATTAATTACAAATTAAAAATAATTTTATAAGTAGATACAACGCGTTTTCATCTTCAACATTTTAACATTAAGAATTAATTAATAATCATTGAGAAATAATACTCGAAACATAAAGAAATCACTTAAAATCAGATTATTATTCTATTCTTAATTGTTTTTCCTTTTAAATGATCATCATGTTGTCTTTTAATTAGATCGAAAACTGGTATTTAGTCTTGTAAGCAGATTACTCTGATCAATAATTTCTTCATTAATTGATCGATACTTTAATCCTTTATCAATATCATTATCATTATTTTGTCTTAAAACAAACCACCAGTAATATATTTAAATAGATAATTAATTAAATAATTTTACAATAAGTCATATAACATTTGATGAGTAAACAACCGCAGTTTAGAAACGAGTTGTCTAACTTTCCCGGCAAAAAAGTTAAAATTGTGTGTAGTGCTATCTGTTTATTATAAAATAACAAAAAGATTAATTTTAAGGATAACGAGGAGTTTTATAAATAATTATAAATGCAAATAACGAGTAAAATCTTTATTAATTCTGACTCATCTCGAGATACGACATATGACCACCCTCTATCTCCTCACTCACTCGACCTTTAACCATCAAAATTTAATAGCATTAATGACCCCAATACAGAAACCACCCTGCAAAATTTCAGAACTTTTCGACTAAAGACACAGAAGTTATTAAGCTTTAAATTGAGTAAACAAAATCGCGAACTCTCTACACACAAGTACCAATAATACCGAAAAATTCCCAAATATTAAAAAAAAAAATAATAAAAATTCACAATCTGTCTACATTATTATACTTTATTATTCATTTTATATATTAAATTATATTATTTTTACTTGGTGAATAATGTATTAAAGCGATAATTATCATCATATGTGATTAATTTAACAAATGAAACCGAATATTTATAATTGTTTTAATGATATATCTATACATTTTTCTTACAAAAACAAGGCAGACATTTAGTTTTAGTTCTACTAATTAATGAAGAAATACCGCTGCACTTAAGCTGTATCTTATGGCATCATTACTTAAACATTTAATTACAAGAGCAAATAAATTCTTCTGATATAACAGGTATACTATTTTTTTTTTATCCTTTATCTCGATACTAATTTGTCCCTTAACTATATAATTATTTTTTCCGTCTAACCATCTAACCCTGTGGTAAATGCATTCTACTCTTTAATTTCCTTATTATATAAATACTAATTCTTTCATACAATTTATTATTACTTTTTTCCTTCTCTTGGTATTGCTATTAATTTTATTTTTAACAAGAGTTTCGATCGTTTTTATTTCTTACTCTTCGGCATTAATCATTTACAACCATTTATTTCTATAAATATATTGAAAGGCAAGGGGGGAATCAACGACAATTGAGACAGGAGAGTGCATTCGATATCTTGGTAACCAATTAAATCTCATGAGTCAGCGGATTTACGGTATTATCAGTTACAATTGCAATCTGAAAGGATTACAGGTTATCATAAGTTGCTTTCATACCCTTCTGTAAGAATCTTTCAACAAAAAAATCGAATAAATGATTTGTAGATAAGCTTCTCTTATGGTGATTAACTTTCGAATTTTCCTTCTAAATACCATTTTAATAAAGCAAAAGATGACTTTTTTTACTGTTATAGAAGCCTTCCTCTACAATATTATTGATTTTAAAATTCATAAAATAATTCGAAATCATTTTTAGGATACGTTTAAAAACTTAATTTCATAAATTATAGAATTAAGAGGAAAAAATCTAGTGTATTATTGTGACAGCTTCAGAATAATACACACTCGATTTTTCGTCACAATGCTCTCGAGTTTAGTAGTGTATTGCCCCTGTACATCATACTTTTCCTGTTAACAACGTCAAAATAATACACACTCGATTTTTCGTCACAATGCTCTCGATTTTAGTAGTGTATTGCTCCTGTACGTCATACTTCTCCTGTCTTTTCATATCTGGTCTCGATTTTCATCTATCTAACTTAGTTCTCGAGATTAAGAAAGGACAGACGGGTGTACCGAAAATCTCATACTAAAAGTAACGCAAAAACCGATAAAATCGAAGAGCGTATAAATTAATTTAAGAAGAAATAAGAGACAATGGCATACGCTAATTTCCATTATAGCATAGTAAATTAGCGAATTAGGACAAACTTTAAACGAATTAGTAAGAGAGATAACAGTTAACGAAATTTTATTCTAGGTAAAGATACATTTGGTCTAAGCAATATGTCCACAGCAAGTATAAGAATGGAGAAGAATAGTAGATTTACCGAGCGCTTTTCTTAATAGTCTCTTCCACCCTAAATGCTCGCATTTGATTATTATTATTGCTACAATCTATATTCCACTCGAGTAGACTCCGGTGTTACAATTTAAGTAAATGACTTGGAAGAAAATAACGTAATCACAAAGCAGGTCAGAGTTAATCCGATCAAAGTGAATAGTGTGTCATCGCAACCAATAACCATTCACCAGTCACAAACTGCAGATTTTTCAAATTCGCCTCTGGCTACACGTCTGGGTTTTGTAATCTTTTTCTTTTACTTTTTCCCCCTTTCTTCTTAGAAGTTTTTACCATAAGGAAAAGGTTTCTTTCTTCTTCTTCTTTTCTTAGTATTTTTTTATTTTATAAAATCTTTTCTGTTTTATCATAGCTCACACAAATCCTGCTATCATCTCCACTTACACACAAAACAGACGCACTTTAAATGCAAAAAGAAGGAAAAGATGAGGAGCTATTTGATTTGCAAAACAGATGGTGTGGTTTAGAATAGAACGAATACGAATGCGAAGAAGTTTCTGCCTTAGAATTGGAATGTCTTATTACTGAAGAGAGAGAAAAGCTGTTGAAATGCTCGTGTGTAAATATGTAGAAATTAAAACCACAGATCGATACAAACTTAACTTCTATAGTTCTTAGTTATATTTCAAATAGAAAAATAAAAAATAAGATGGTTTCTTGTTTAGTAATGGATCGAAGTAAGTAAGGTGTTAGTTCGATACATTATAATATACATAAAATTACAGAGGGGTAAAACTTGTAGACAAATTTTGGGGGAGTTTCTACAAGTAGATAATAGAATAGAGTTTGTGATTAAAGGTGAAAGGTTACGTATTTCGATCACTTTTATGATTATAATTTGTGGAATTTTTTACACGCTCTAAGGAGGGGGGGACAAAACCCCTTATGTCACCGTCTCGACACACGTGATAATATTTATATATTATTAGAGATTTCGTATTTGTTATGGTAAAACGCAAGAATCAATATTTCTGTCTGGTTAGTGTCTATTTGTATCTATTATCATATCTATAACGTAGCGATGAAAGGATAATTTTTAAAAAGTTAACACTCCTTCGTAAGCTTTTTAAATTATTCTCGTTGATGTTGTCTGTGTTAATTTACTTAGCGAAGAAATGAAATATCGAATGGAAAGATTAAAAATTTAATACTTTGAAGTAAATTATAGAAAATAATTAATTAAATTGAGTATTGTCTATAGTCAAACGTAGTCAGATTAACAATGGTTTATTCAGTTTAGGTATTATTTTTATATAAATTTGTATAAAACTATGAAGCAATTAAAGGATAGTTTTACGTATTGCAGTTTTAATAGTATTAGATAAGGATAAAAATCCATTGTGTTTCATCAAAGCTGATGCTCGTTTAGTCGTTTATATTATTTTATACATATATAACTATAAAGTTTATATATATACAAATCAAATGTAAAAATAAATAATCTGCAAAGCTGGTTGTAATTAATTTTATATACAAAACTAAAAAAAAAAACAGGAGAATTTAAATTTATAAAAATATCTAGAGCAGTTATAAAGGCTTATAAAAATTCATTATATATTAAGAAAAACAGGAAAAATATTAAATGATTTAATATCTTCCTGTTATTAAATGATTTAATATTTACTCAATCTAAAATAATTTATCAATAAATCAACAAAACAAATACCAAATTCAAATCTCATTTTCTTTCACAGAAGTACCAGACAGTCAATATATCGTGTATTGACCTACGACAAAAATACAATGTATTGTGTTTTTAGAAGATTTCGAGCAAACAGTAGAAGGGCAAGAAGTTATTTTCGATTGAACCATAATCCTTATAAACATTTATAGTTTTATATACATTATGTTATTCCTATACAGTTCTATCTATCTATTTATTAAAATCATATTTAAATACGTATAGCAAACAACAAAGAAGATTATCGTAAAAAAAAAGGAAACTGATATTCATATCTTTGTTGAGTTATAGCTTTTGTTATAATTTAATCTGATTCCATCCATCAAAATATAACTTTGATCAAAGTTAATCGATATATTCGATAGGCCAAATGTCAAAATTTACATTGGAAAAATTTTATTTATATGTTGATATTATACGAAATCTA